TGGTATCCAGAAGTTGCCTTGGCCGAGCCAATCTCCTGGCATGAACCCCATCAAAACCTCTGGGCCATACTCGACCGGCAAGTCAAGAAACAAAAAAAAAAAACTTCGAAGAGCGATCTACTCCAAGTTTTGAAGCAAGAGTGGGCGAAAATCCCACAATCTAAAATTGACGAGATGATTATCACGATGCCCCAAAGGATCAACGAACTCCACGAAGCGAAAGGAAGATCTACTATATATTAACTAAATTATAAATATATCAATTCATGTGAATATGACTGAAAATTTTCATTTTTTTCTGAAAAGGTGGTGTCTATTTACTTGTGACCACGCTGTGTATATTTGCTATGTTGTTTTTATTGTGCTGCCTTTCACCTGCTACTCAATTGCCAAAAGATAAGGCTACAGATAGCTGCAGCTGCTGATTTACTGTGTCGCCTAACTATATTCTAGTCAATCTCCCGTAATTCAGTTGAATATCGAAAATTGTGTTCACAACTGTTGAGAAACTAATAATTCTGAGATATGTTCATTGGTTCAAGCCAGAATACAATTATAATTAACTATCATTTTGGTCCAAGTATATTTCAGCTAATAGAAGTTTATTCTGATGTTACACTAAATTTTGCACATTGTACTTTTCAAAAAACAGGACTTCAATCACTACGACGAACAGAGGGGATTACAAATAATATTGTTACGATAGCGGAAGTCACGTGACACTGGTAACACGTAATGAGTATCTAGAAGGATCGGAGAACATCACGAATAATCCAGTATGTGCTAGACGTCCTCTATTCCTGTATATAAGCAGGCAAATAAAGCTAGATAATTAATTGAATTGCAGACAGGCAGAGATAGAGACGGACAATTGAGTCAAGCGCGGTAGTGACCGTAAGTAAAGTGCGTGAATCGTTGTGAATTATAGCGTGTATTTAAGATAAAGTGACTGTGGAAATTAAGTGTATTGCAAAGTTGTATTGAGAAAGAATAAACTAGTTTTATTTAAGAAAGGACTTGCATCGCTGTAGTTCTTCGGAAATAATTTCTTCGAAAAACTAACAAACGACCAGAGACGTAACAATATAATCATTGTTAAATTGAAGTCGTGGTATCTCCCGCGATGAAATAGAGGTTAGGTTCATACTTACCTTCTCCTCTGCCTCCACGCACACACACAAACACAAATAATAATAATAAAAAACTAAGCGAACAATAAATATTTATGGAATATTTTTAAAGCGAAACAGTACTTTAACAAAGTCTTAGTGTAGTAGATATTAGTACTTGCTTTTCATAGAAAACAACCAATAAGTAAGTCACAGAATGCTTTGAGTATTGCTCATCACGTACAATTAAATAGTAGAAATGTTTAGTATTGCTAAAAGAGCCAATGATGAGCAGTAATTTAAAGCTTGTTAGATTACGTGTAACTCAGTCCAAAATTGACTATGAAGTTATAATATTTAGCCTGATTAATACAGAATACTAACTGCGGGAAAAAAGCTTTTATCATTATATACGCCCCATTCCCTAGTGGCACAACGGTATGTATGCGGACTTCTAACGCTAGAATCCGGATTTCGATATTCGTGGTGGGCAAAGCACAGATAGCCCATTGTGTTGTTTTGTGCTTAACTTTAAACAAACAAATTATCATTATAATAAAAAAAATAATATAAGTAACTGGTATTAGTTTAGTTGCAGGAAGACGATTTTAGATCGTTCCCTATAATTCATTAATTGAAGTAATTGTTTTCAAATATTTCCAACACATTTTTATGGGGAATATAGTAAAATATAAAATGGTGTTAAAACAAAAAATTACACATTGTTGGTTATGGCTAAATCTTAGTTATATAAAGTTCATTAATTCAGACATAAAGGTTGTGTCTTTAAACTCTATCGCTTATACTTATAAAGAGCTTAGCGACATCTATGAATGTAAACGGTGTGAGAAACGAGAACACACAGTTATATGTTTCAATATTTTATATTGTTGTGATGTACAATACAATTAGTTCAAAGCAAATTTCAAAATTTGATCATCATGTCAAACGTGAAGTATGCTCAAGTCGAGCAAATTATAGAGAAGGACGGAAAGCAACTGCAGTGAAGGTACATGTTAATTTTACTATTAGCCTGTTTTATTAAATGATGATTTCCGTATTCAGTAAGTTATTGATTTATTTCTAACGCTAATAACAGTAACACTTTGAGTGATACAAAGGTGTTTTCCGTTTGGGCCCTACCGAAAAGTGCAGTCCAAGAAGTCAAACATTGGTAATTTCCTTTGTGAGCCAATCAAAATTAAGATCATTCATGAAATGAATTTGTGGTGTATTTATAGAATAATAATTGGTAAAAATCAGTTAGATTAACAACTTCTAATATATATAGAAAAGCCAGTGCATTTGGTAACACTACTTTCCAACAATGGCATTTATGTCATGTAGCTTAGTAATAAACATAAAACCCAATATTGTTGTTAGTCTATGTACTGAAACTATAAAATATAAAAGTATACGTCTATACTTTAGGCATATTACACCAACACTCACCACACTTATAAGGTTTCGCGACACCCCCCCCCCCTCCTCATGGCTTTCTTGCACTAACGTCACTGAAATCGTAATGGGCTGACAGTAATCGAATTATTCTATCTGGATAAATGTATTTTGGCTTTTATGATATCTTTTATTTCGACAAATCAAAATAAATCGAGCGTGACGTGACGTGACAAACACTGGCTTGTTTCTGAGTTAGATGTTGAAATTAACTTGACTTTTAAACTATCTATTTGTTGTGTGTTAAAACGAAGCTATACCATATAAGAATTATGATCGTATTATTATATATTATATATTTTGCATACTAAAAGGTCCATGAAAATCGGTTGTTATTGTTTTTTTCTGATGTCATACAATACTACATTATCAATATCTTTGATGTTTATATTCTAGTGGCATTTAATGAGAGACTAGTTAATAGTCTGATTTCTGCTTTTTGGAACAATATTTTGCTGTTGATTATTATTATAAATACATGTTTTGCATATAAAGTACCATATCGGATATATTTTTTCAGTCACAGATGATACCGAATTTTGAAAAACACCAACTTAATAATCAAGAAATGCCATACAGCGTTGAATACAAATACAAGAAAATGTTGTTGTTTTTCGTTTCGGTAGAAATAGGAGCCTTTAATGGAACCCGTTCAACATGTTTTTTTGGTGTGTGTTTTTTTCTAATTATATTTTCTTTGAAACTTGTTTTTGTTTTCATCTCCTTAAGTTACAAAACTCGGTTGCAATGACATTATGTTGCTCAGCCCTCCAATCTCTTTCAAGAAACAAGACATCTCTACAGTAAAGCCTCAAGGGAAAATTGCTCAGTACGGATGGTCGCTTACAAAATGAGAGCAAGAAGCCTAATGAGATGATTCTAGTTAAGTTTTAAAGGTATATGATACGTTGTAATCAGGAAGTACAAGATTAGATTTCTTTGACCTTCGCGATTACTTTTATTTCTAATTCTGTTCTCCATTGCAGAAGTATATATATCGTTTTTTGTTTTTATTTTACTTTCTCTAGTTGGGTTGTTTCAATCAACAAACGTTTGTCACAGTTTGGGATTGTGTGGCCTTAATCAATACGATATTGCTACATATAAACATGAATAATGGCTATTTTCTATTCAAACTTTGAATATATACAGTCTAGATAACCCTTTATTTTAAAATTTGTCGAGAAAAGTAATTATATGAACATAGCGTTTGATTTTAGTGTTGTTTGTTTTTGTCCTTATTATACAAAATACTAAAAGAACCACTCTACTGGATCTAATTTTTGAGGCTTTACTTACTAATTAGTAATAACCATACCAGTGCCAAAAAATTCTAAATGACAAATACAAATTAAATTGTTTGGGGATCTCATCTGTTTTTCTAAGGACACGAAATGATCTGTTGGAGGATCGATGTCAATTGACTTTACGAGAATATGAAATTATCTGTTGGATGATTGATGACAATTGGCTTTACGAGAATATGAAATTATCTGTTGGATGATTGATGACAATTGGCTTCACGAGAATATGAAATTATCTGTTGGAGGATTGATGTCAATTGGCTTTACGAGAATATGAAATTATCTGTTGGAGGATTGATGTCAATTGGCTCTACGAGAATATGAAATTATCTGTTGGAGGATTGATGTTAATTGACTCTACGAGAATATGAAATTATCTGTTGGAAGATTGATGTCAATTGGCTCTACGAGAATATGAAATTATCTGTTGGAGGATTGATGTCAATTGACTCTACGAGAATAT